TAAATATGGCCAAAACTAGTACATTCAAATGGCCAAAACTGGTGTTATGTTGGCCAGAACTGGTAAATTTTAACTTTTATATTTGATTAACATGGCTTTGGCTAATTATGCGATTGCAGATCCAACAGAGATCAAAATCAAATAAAGCAAGGCAGATGTCATACAAAAGGTTGAAAATAGAAGACATCTAAAGTATGCAGAAGCCTGGCACATTTACAAGTGCAAGGAAAAAGGGCAAAATATAAATTTTTGTGAATCAAACAAAATAGCATCATCATGGAAAGCAACGACATTAAAATTATAATAATGGGCATGCGCAATTGAATATGAGAATTTGTGCATTTTGGAATTTCCGTTTGGCAAATTTTAATTGTTAGTTTGATCCTGAAGAAGGTCTGTTAATCTGACCGAAAATGTTTGATAAGTTTTTAAAATAGACTGCATTTTAAAGGTATTTGAGTTTATTAATTGAATATAGTAATGTAGTAAAGATATAATGATTTTATATTTGAGATTAATACTTACATTTTGTGAAAGTTCCTAAATAAAATCTGATTTATTATGAAGAAAAACTGAAATTTATGGTTTTATTTACTTTCAACTTTAACAAAAAAGTCCAAAGAAATATTATTTGGCACATATTTTTCTGGAAAACTTCACTTGCTTTGGCCAAAACTGGTACATCTACCCTACTTTTTGCTACTTTTTGACTTACAGCTAATAAATCTCATTGTAACAGAAACAAATAAGTTCTCGATGCAACAGGCATGGTCATCTAGGGATCAGTGGGAGCCAGTAACAGTCGAAAAAATATACATATTTCTAATGATTTGTATATTACAAAAACTGTTATACAAACCATCTGAGAGAATGTACTGGTCCAAGAATGATCTAAACACCCCAATTTTTGGAAAACTGACGACAAAAAATAGATACATGGAAATAAAAACAAATTTGCATTTTGCAGACACTTTTAACGCTAAAACACATGAGAATCCAAAACTTTGGAAAATTTGGCCAATAGTAAAAGATCTTAATTTAAAATTCTCCCGCTTTTATACCACCAAACAAAACATCAGTGTTGATGAGAGCCTTCTATTGTTCAAAGGCCGTCTTTCCTAAAAGCAGTACATTCCTCCGAAACGGTCTCATTATGGTGTAAAATTTTTTATGTTATGTGAATCGAAATCCGGATATTTGTAGATTTATTATTTACACAGGAAAGGTACTTGCCTAAACCAAAAGTATGCAAATATGTTATTTACTTCTCAAATTGTGTTAACATTAATGGACCTGCTGTTAGACAAGGGATACTGTCTAACTATAGATAATTATTATACTTCCCCACTTTTAGCAGATTATCTTATAACGGTCAAAACTGATTAACATCTCAAGGCCCAAGTAGTATACAATAAATCACAAAACGATCGCCTAAATATCGGGCTATAATAAGGCTAATTAAATGATTAGTATAAAGTAATTTTACATTAGAAATAGACGTTAGGCTCCATCTCTTAAGTAAATTAATAATTATAATTAAATAAATTATTAAAACTGATTGTTGTGGAACATTACACACAACACAAAAAGATGTTCCAAAGGTATTACATCAAAAAAAAAAAAAAACGAAAGACTGTAGCAATGCAGAGAGGTAAAGTGATGATTAAAAAATGGCACGACAGAACAGTCACGTTCCTCTCTACATTCCACAGTCCAAGAATGGTAAGTAAGGAAACGCCTACTGGTAGTATAATAATGAAGCCACAAGTTATTTAGACCTCTGGTAGATAAAAAAGTATATATCTTTTATAATTTAGAACTTATTTTAAAAGAAAAACTAAACACCCTTGTTTCTCATTCGGAAGGAGTGAGTTTCAATTCGGATTCCCGAGTTTCTTCTAGTGTAGAGGGATTAAAATGGACTTTTTTATCTTTCTTTTGAAATCACTAAAGACGCCCCTTAATCTCCGACACATTTCTCATTCAGAAGGAGTGAGTTTCAATTCGGATTCCCAAGTTTCTTCTAGTGTAGAGGGATTAAAATGAACTTTTTTATCTTTCTTTTGAAATCACTAAAGACACCTTAATCTCCAGCGCATTTCTCGTTCGGAAGGAGTGAGCCCACATAAATAAAATAGATACTGACATTAAATTTGACTTAGAACCTGAAAGCAACTGTCAGTTACCATTCTTAGACATTCTCGTCATGAGACACAAAGACAAAACAACCTTTAAAAAATATAAAAAACCCTGTACTATTGACAGCGTCATACACTTTACATATATAAAAAGAATACTTTTTACATGTACTTGGATAAAATTATGCAACGTACCACCTATGATACCAATATATTCAATGAGATCGAAGACATCATAAAAACGTACTTAATGAACGGGTATAGCAAGCGCATAATCAGTAACTGGCTAAATAATAAATATGTTAATACACACAAATAACCAATTGACAACACTGCTTAAAATTTTTTTTAAATTCCTTACGTTATGAATATCTTTGAAAGAATTAAAAGAAAATTAATTAAGTATAATATTATTTCGGTACCCGAACATCGCAACAGCTTACATAAGAAAATAAACGTACCTAACAGAAAAGTTAACATATGGGACCAAAAAACATTGTTTACAAATTTGAATGCGACTGTACCACACCCAAATCTTACATTGGTGAAACTAGTAGGGAATCAAAGGTCTGTTTCAATGAACATATCTCTGCCATAGCACACAACAATGATAGCTTGGCTGTAGCTGCCCACTGTAATAATGAAGGCTGTCAGATTTTAAAAGATACTGTCAAAATACTTAAAAAAAAAATACTTATAAAAGAAGTTGGTACAAACACTTAGAAATAATAAAAAACAAAGAGGAAATCATGAATAACAACTCCAGTCAAAAATTACGAGTCGCGGTATGCATATTTGACCAGGGGGGCGTGGGGGGAGGTGTGAAAATGGATAGGGGTAAGGGTGACAGTTACCCTGGAATGTCCTTCAAATCGTCTTGTTACTCTGTTCATGTTACTGTGAATCTACTTATCATTTTGTTTTAATGAAGTATATTTGTATGACTTTACTGTTTTACCAGAACCTCAGTTTATTATTATGTCATTATATCAACATTACCGTTTTTAATGGAAAATTTTGTTTTATTGCATGCCTAGTCTTTTAATTAATGTTCAACGCATCGAATCCACATGTCAAATTTAAGTCCACATTCTTTGTTCATTTCTGTCAATCAGGGTCTTTTTATAAAAATTGTTAACTTCCTAATATTTTTTGTAGAAAACAGCTGATGAGGAACTCCATGTCCAAAATGCATTCTAAAAATAAAATAGTGTTTTTCTAAATTTAATTTGATGTCCTGTAGTGGTGTAATAAGTGTAGCGGTAAAGTAAAGCCAATTTTAGTGCTCACAAGCCATACAAATTACCCGATATTGCAAAAAGCTACAATAATAGTTTTCACCAAAGTATCAATATGTCTCCATCAGAAGTTACACCCCTACAATTTTTTTACTTAATTGCAACTCTCTTTTTTTTGCAACATGACTAGAGGAATTATTTTAGTGTTGTTTCGAGTAAAATATAATCAAATTTAAATTTATTTTAACTTTTTTTTTTTTTTTATAAATTTACCTATTTTTAAATTTTAATTTTAAGCGCCAAAAGTCACACGACTTGCATTTTGGTCAGTGTTGCCAAGTTAGGGTTTTTTACCCTCGATTTAGGAATTACTTTTGGGTCTAGGGGAAATTTAGGGAAAAGATTTTTTTAGGGAAAAATTTAGGATGATTTTTTTTCTAAAAAGAATTTTTAGGGATTACATTTAAAACTTAAAATTTTGCATTTACTTTGAGAATTTCTTAATTTTATCACTGCTGGCATTGTCTTCACTTGAAATGGGGTCAATCAGCACTATAGACTAATTACCTAGCAGTGAAGTTTAAAAAGTTCGTAGTTCACACAATTGGCAACCAACTCGATATGCCAATTACATTAACAAAATTCAGATAGTTCAATATGCTGATCTTGGTTCATCAAGACGACACCTTGCGACGTATCAACGAATTGTTGGCTAGAAGTAATCTCCTTCTGGTGGTTGAAGAACAGATAGCGCGACGAATCCAGACTTGACTCGAACTTTAATGCACATTTGAAGTTCTAAACAAAACTTAAATCTCCCGCTTCAACATTAAAGTTTTTATATCCATCGACAGCGGGCTTGATGACCAATCAGTGCTTACCAAGCCATAGCACTATGCAAATATATCATGTGGCATGATTCCCTGCTGACCAATCAGTGGCCACGTATTCAAAATACAATGGTCTTTCTTAGCCATTACTAGATAAAAAAAAAAAACGGAAATTGTGTTCTTACACAATCCTATCCCAACACTAGCTTTGCTAGGTAATTAGTCTATGCCAACATCCAGCAATAACACGTGTGATTTTACAAGCTTTTGTGAGTTCGATCTTTGATGTTAAATTGTTAAAACTACAAGAAATATTTAAATGTAAGTAATAAAACAAATTTTATAGTTATGCAAATGACTAATTGAAAGAATGAATATAAATTGAAACTTTTTGTAGGATAATTTATGTTTTGGTTTGGTTGTTTGGTTAGAAACAATTTTCCTATTATTCAATACCATTATGGCGACCAAAAAGAAATACACACAGTCATACTGCAAAACATGGGCGAAATTGGAAGAATTTAAAGGTATCAGTAATTTATATTTTATATTTATTTGTGCTAATTTAAAAATTTTCATTTTTAGCTTGGTTNGCTAAAAGTTTGTGCCATTTTGATCTTTAATGTTAAATTGTTAAAACTACAGGAAATATTTAAATGTAAGTAATAAAACAAATTTTATACTTATGCAAGTAACTAATTGAAAGAATGAATATAAATTAAAACATTTTGCTGGGTAATTTATGTTTTGATTTGATTTGGTTGGAAACAATTTTTCTATTATTCAATACCATTATGGTGACCAAAAAGAAATACACACAATCATCCTGCAAAACATCAGAGAAATTGGAAGAATTAAAAGGTAAGTATCAGTAATTTATATTTTATATTTATTTGTTCCAATTTTCAACCATTACCAATAATGATAGAAAAATTTAATGAAAAAATGTATGACCACATTAATTTATTATTTACAAATGTATTAGAAGAATACACAGTCATACTGCAAAGCATGGGAGAAGTTGGAAGAATCAGTAATTTATATTTTATATTTATTTGTGCTAATTTAAAAATTTTCATTTTTAGCTTGGTTAGCTCCTGATCCAACAGGTGACCCACTGAATGCTTATTGTCATTATTATAAAATATCTTTAACTGCACACAAAAAAGGTTTGCTTGCACATGCCAAAACAAGAAATCACAGAGAAAAAACTGCATTAGAAAAAAATGCCAAATCAAGTAAAAAATTGCCATTCGAGCCAGTAATAAGAACAGAAACAAAAATTGCAGAATTAAAATTGAGCGCCTTCGTTGCTGAGCATAGCAGTATTAACACTGTAAATCATCTGACAGAACTACTACCTAAAATTGATGAGAAATCTAAAATTTTTGGAGAATTGAAACTTCACCGCACTAAATGTTCGATGCTGTTAAAAAACGTTTTTGGAGCATCAGTCATAGAGGAACTGATTCAGGACATGGATAACAGTCCGTTTTCTGTAATAATATATAAATCAACTGACATTTCTACAACCAAGATTTTGTGCATCATGGTAAAATATTTCTCCAGAATGAAGAAAAAAAATCACAACCTTTTATCACCTCATTCAGTTGGAAAATTGTGATGTAGATTCCATCTATAATTCATTTAGAAATCAGTTGTTGCAAGATGGCTTAAATCTACATAACCTAATTGGAATAGGAGTTGACAATGCTAGTGTCATAATTGAAATACATCGGTCATTTTCTACATTGTTGAGAGATGATGTTCCAAGCTTGGTTGTAGTAAGATGTGTTTGTCATTCACTTCATCTATGTGCAGAAAAAGCATGTCAAACCCTACCAAGACAGTTGGAATATCTTGTCCGAGAGGCTCACAATTAGTTTTCCTATAGTTCAACATGAAAAATTCAATATGAAAGTCTGTATGCTGCCATGAATGAAAATTCAAAACCTAAGAAAATTTCTAAACTCAGTGGAACAAGATGGCTTGCTCGCTACAAAGCTATCAAGACCATTGAAGATCAGTGGGAGGAATTACGCATTTTATTGTTTAGATTAGCAAAGGAACAAGATAGATGTTTTTCCGCAAAGCAGCTGTATAATATTATGAAAGTTAATGCTTACAGACTGTTCATGATATTTTTTAAAATGTTTTAAAACAAGTCTGTGATGCAAATAAGTTATTTCAAAGTGATCAGGCTGAAACTTTGAAATTATATCAAGATTTATTCTTACTTTATAAATCAATAATAGAAAAAATTATTGTACCAACTATATTTGAAAAAGTAAGAGATGAAGATCTCATAAAGTTAAACTTTCAAAATCACCTAGTTCACGTGAATAGTTTTCATGAATTTAACATTTTTAGTTCAAATGTTTCTGAATCTAAGTATAGTGATGTTAAATACCAATGCAGAGCCTTTATTACAGAGTTGTGTACACAAATTCAACATTTACCAGAAAATGTTATAATTCTAGAACAATTGAGTCAACTGCATCCAAAAGTTGCAACATCACAACAAAAGCCATCAATTCTTCCAATTACACAATTATCATCACCTTTTTATTTGACTGAAACAGAGTCTGAATGGCAAAATATTCAACATAAAGTATGGAATAATTGTAACAAAACAACTGACTTTTGGATTTAAGTTTTTGAGGACACCAATTAAGCTGGAAACCCAAGATTTAGAAATATTGCTCAGTTAGCATTGAAATGTTTGTGCCTTCCAACTTCTAATGGAACTGTTGAGAGGACTTTTTCAATCCAATCAATTATAAAATCAAAATTAAGAAACAGATTGTATTTAAATATGGCACAAGCTATTTTAGCAACCAGGTATTAAAGAAATGAAATAACTTTTGCCAATTTTTAACCATTACCAATAATGATAGGAAAATTTAATCAAAAAATGTATGACCACATTAATTAATTCTAAATTTACAAATTTATCAGAAGAATTAAATGATGTCATTAATGTTTTTCAAAATATTTAATTTTCATTATAAATGGTTTTCTTTTAATGTTTTAAAAGTTTTGTAATTCATAAAAGAATAATAAAAGATTTTTTATATTATAATTTCAAAAAATTAGGGTTTTTTTTAGGGTTGAAAAATATTTTTAAGGGTTTTTTAGGGAGTTTTTCCACCAGATCTAGGGAGAGTAAGGGAGAGTTTTTTTTAGAAAAATAGCACGTTTAAAACGTTAATTTAACTGTCGGGCTTCCTAATGGTAAAACTCATAAAATGTAACGGACATTGCCGAAGACAAATATGGCGAAGTATCACGTGACACGGGTTCTAGAATCGAGTAGAATAATCAACCATTCACTGCATTTACTTCATTAAGTCATCATATATTAAATATTTTAAACTATATGAGAATTTAAAGTATGGTAAAACTTACATAAATATTAACGGCTGATTAGATGCTTGAAGAGATGGGAAATAATAAAATTCACTTTCAGATAACGACGACAATCCCTTCCCTCTTACCGCCATATTGTTTACTCTTCCCGTGATTCTCTTCTAATGGCTATTTTCGTTGTTGATCAGAGCTTACGGGGGTAAATGTAATATATTAATAATAACTATTAAAAAGGAATTATTTTTAAATAGAACCGATTCATATTCATAGCTTAACTCTAATATAATGTAATTTATCACGTGATCTAGTCACCGTACGTCATCAAATTAGTTATAAAACATAATAAACATTTATAAGTTTCCTTATCTTAAATTAAAGCGTTAAATTAACAAATATGTAAATTAAAACGATAAAATAATTTTGTAAAGTTTTATATAAATGCCGTTTACAAAATATCGTATATTTATTGGCATTAAGAGAAAGAAAAGAAGGTTGATGAGAAAATCCAAATCCCCTCCAACAAAAGAAGAAAAATTCTACAGGGATCAATGTATAAACTTAACGAACTTATTTATTATTATCATTTAAGTTTAAAACTATAAAAATTTATGTAAAATGTTCAGTTTCTTTCGTCTTAAATAACCGTTATTTATAATATTATACACCAACCTATAGATCGCGATCTACTTTTATGTTATTTGCAAAAATAAAATTGCTTAAACCGAGAGTAATATTTCATTGTTCCCGATATTTATCTATAAACGAAATATTTAAAGTGTAGAAGAACGAAATAAAATTTTAAATGAAAGTTATTTTAACCTAAGGTTTTAAAAACTTTTCAAATTTGTTTCTCCGAACGTATTAGTTACAGCCGCCATATTGTTATGTCGCGCATCAGCGACGCGACAGGTCGCTATTTTGGTTAGAATGCAATATTTATTCCTGTAATTCTCCAAAATATTATATTTAAACGTATAAATCATCATATTTTGGCCGAAATTATAGATTATTATTTAGAAAGGGGATCCCTAAAATCGGAAAAATAGGGTAAATTCATTTATAACGTTGGTTGATAAACATAAACAATTCCGGTGTCGCGTTTACACACACATCTGTCAGATGTGTCTTTTCTGATAGCTAAATTAATCGTTGCACAACCAGACAAAACATATAATGGATATAAAATAAATGTATAGTTTAATTAAAATACAGTAGACCCTAAACTGCGAATATTTAAATTTTGAAAAACTCCACCATACCTTTAAAATGCAGTCTATTTTAAAGGTATGGTTTTAAAGGACCTTCTTCAGGATCGAACTATAAGAATTTAAATTTGCAAAACGGAAATTCCAAAATGCACGTTCTATAATCTTCTCAATTGCGCATGCCCATTATTATAATTTTAATGTCGCCGCTTTCCATGCCGATGCTATTTTGTTTGATTCACGAAAATATATATTTTGCCCTTTTTCCTTGCTCTTGTAAATGTGCCAGGCTTCTGCATACTTTAGATGTCTTCTATTTTCCACTTTTTGTATGATATCTGCCTTGCTCCATTGTATTTCGATCTCTGTTGGATCTGCGATCGCATAATTAGCCAACGCCGTAATTAGTTGTTTAAATCTTACATTCTTTTCGTGCTCCTTCAATCTTTCATTTAACGATCTTTTAGTGGCTCCTATATAATATATCTCCTTATTCAGCCTCTTATCATGCAACGGTATTCTGTATACACACCTGGGATCAGCCTCCTATCAACGGGTGTTTTGTCATTTCTTAGCATTTGGAATATTGTCGTGTTTCTCTTATATGCTATTTTCTTGTTGCTTTCTATTCCTATTTTTCTGTAAATGTTAATTAACTGAGCCCTTTATTCCATTAAGGTGAACTCCTTTTTCTCTCTTTTATCTTTATTTTTATTGCCTTCATTTCGTGGTATTAAGAAAGTCGTGGTATTATTATTGGTGAATAAAGACTGAATATTATAAAAATGTAGAACGATTTTTTTACATTTTTAATTGAAATAAATCTTGTTTATACAAAGTAACGTCTTTAGTAGAATTGCATCTTTTGGAAAAACTAGTACATTACACAGTTTAACTGTTAAGCGAATTTGTAAAACCTATAAATTTTATTTTTAAAATTTTTATAACAAATAACTTTACAGGTATTTACTGTATTTTTAATACAGTTAGAGCAATTAACGAATGAATACCATACAGATTAAAACATTTTAAATACACTCAAACAAACACAAAGTTGGCGAGGAAAACTTTGAGTTAACTATCGAGCTGATTCATTGTTTCTCAAACACTTTTAGGTTTGGCTAACGGGACATTCCAATTTTCAATGCTGACACAGCGCTGATCTCAACGTTCGTTAAAAATTGTTCCTTTTTTCAACGTTGAAGTGGCGTTGTTGTCAGCGCTGTCTCAACACACTCAGCACTCAGACATGTTGACTGCTACTTTCTAATGAATTGTGGGTCATTGGTGCGACATTTGAATGGAATCCATCTTGCTGAGAATGGAATTATGGGAACTAAGCACTTCGTACTCGAGTTGGAACGTCGTTGATGACGTCAAATTGTTGACTTCAACACTCAACACTCGCGTTGAAAATCGGAATATCCCGTAAGAAAATCAGTTTATAGATTAATAACGCCTAAATATGGACTGTTTTCCCATAAATGGTCTTCTATGAGGCATTCGCCCGTGTGTCTCGTTGCCTTATACGAATATAACCAAACTAAATCGCAAGAGTTATTAAGCTTCAAAATGGGTGAACAAAATCGTGCCCATACACGCAATAACATGCATACATTCAGTAAAACCCTCAATTTTGTTTTAATTTCTTGACATTTTAATGTCCCTAAATTTGAAAAGGTAAAAATCATCAGTTGGATCATTTATTCACCGATCGCCAAACTTTCCCTCTGCTATAAATAACAGCGGGAAAGTATATTCGCTAACTGCAATTGTTGTAGATGAAAAACGATATCTTAAAAAACACATCCGATAAAGCTTTGTGTATTTGAGGTAAACCAACCTCAAATAAAAGAAAGAAGTCCCAGCTTCATTTAGTCCACAATCATGTAAATTCTATTTATTCAAGAGAGAAACTCTACGGGTCCTCAGTGGATAAAACTACTGAAAACTGACATTGGGTTCGTGCCTGACGAAGAGAAGTTTTTCGGGTTTTCTTCACACATCTAACTACTAAATAGGAACTAATCTCCCATAAAATATTCTTTCGGGATGCATCCCCTTGACGTGGTGCATTGTCCCATTCCAGGAATCTAATCTAATTCTCAGATTTTCAATGGAAGTTAAAAATGAGCATTCATTGTTTGTTCAACGTTATGTTAAAATAACGTTGAACAAACGTTATTTTAACATAACGTTTGTTAATGCTATGTTAACAAACATAACATAACATTTTATGTTATGTTATGTTATGTTATGTTACGTCCCATGCTTCTGCCATGGAACAGCAGAAGCAGGGGAGTCACGTG